TGCTCCTTATAACATTAGTGTCTAATGGACCATGTTGAAATAGTATTAGTGGCCTGTTCCAAGTAATACATTGTGATGTTGCAATGCTCCAAAAGAGGTTTCAATACTGTTACATATGAAATCCTCTAATGAAATAGCATAATTTCACTACTGTTACATCTGAAATCCTCTAATAAACCAGCCGAGTCTCACTACTGTTACATCTAAAAATTGTGGTTATGCAACTGCAAAGGTTGACTACTGTTAATCCTCTAATAAAACAGCCGAGTCTCACTATTGTTACATTTGAAAATTGTGGCTATGCAACAGCAATGGTTGACTACTGTTACATCTGAAATCCTCTAATGAAACAACATAATTTCACTATTGTTACATATGAAATTGTGGCTATGCAACAGCAAAGGTTGACTACCGGATCGTGCTCATGGTCAGCATTGTTGCAAAAGTGGACAAACATTGACAAGCATGGACCGATAGAAAAAGAATGTTGCAACCATAATGATTCAACTAGGACGTCCGTCCTAAACTCATGCGCCGGACGCATTCATTCTGTTCCGATCCCATGACCCCTCCCCCTCCTGCTCCCTCCGCTCCCCCATGCCACTCCGCCCGCACTCGATCTCCCACGCGCCCGTGACCACTCCCCGCTCCCTCCGCTCCCCCGCGCTTACTCCGCCCACACCCTCCCCCGCGCCCACTCGCGGCTGCACCGCCTTGGCACTCTCCGAGACCTGCTTGCGCCCCCGAGACGGATGCCGCACCCGCGCGATAGCTCGCTGTCGTCCTGCCGCCCGGGCTCCCTCACTCACTCAATCAATCCACCGGAGACGAGGAAGACCGCGGCAGCTCCGACGAGGTAAGTCGTTCCTTCTCTAGATCTGAGCCCCCCCCCCTCCTCTTCCTCTGAATCTGAGCGCTCTCCCTCCTCCTCCTCTAGATCTTAGCCCTCCTCCTCCTCTAGATTTGAGGGACGCGGCGATGGCTAGGGTTTCGGCGAGCTCTGTTGCAGTAGCCTTTGTTTTGCTATTGCAACAAGTAATATTTCTTTGTTGCATTAGTCTCTTTTTTCTTATGTTGCATCTCGTATTGCGCTTTGTTTTGTTGTTGCAGTAGCCTTGCTCTAATGTTGCAACAAGTAATATTTGTTTGTTGCATTAAGTCTCTTTTTTCTGATGTTGCTTCTCGGATTGCGCTTTGTTCTGTTGTTGCAGTACCCTTGTTCTGATGTTGCAACAAGTAATATTTTTTTATTGCATTAGTCTCTTTTTCTGATCTTGCATCTCGCATTGCAGTAGCTTTGTTCTATTGTTGCAGTCGCCTGTTCCGATGTTGCAATAGACTTGTTCTGATGTTGCAAACAAGTAATACTTCTAATGTTGCATCTCGCATTGCTCCGTATTGCAACAGATCTTCCGATGGAAAATTTCTCATTCGGGTGATGGAGCACGGTGGGGATGGGGCGTGGAGGGCAACGGGCGTGCAGGGGATGGCGGCACGGCGGTGCAGTGGGGGACAGGCCGCACGCAGGGGCACGCTCGTTCTATTGCATTGGATAGGTCTTCCCGTGGGGCATCCGGACGCGTGCTCGCGCCGGACGTCCGGGCGCTAGTTGCATCCATGTTACAAATCAAGCTAAAGAACTAACCAACATTCTTAGAAACATAGATGTTCACCCGTTCGTGCACCACCGCCACCCTCGCTTGGAGCAGCTCCAGCACAGAACATACAATTCAGAGGATTTGCAACATACAATTCAAAGAAGTTGCAACATACAATTCAAAGAAGTTGCAACGTACATAGATTGGGTTAGAGAAGTAGATCTTGATCTTCTGTGTTGAAGGATGGTTCATCACCACCAGCTCCATCTCGCTGTTGGTCACTGCAACACGCCAGTCCAGTCTTGCCATAGATGCCCCTTGAGCCCTCCTTGCATCTGTCGAACTAGAGATTCACTTCACTACCATGAATAATGAATGGACGGGGGAGGACGCCCTTGGAGGAACTCGATGTTGCAGAGGGGGCGCGGCATGCTGGGGGCCGGCGGACTGGAGGATGGAGTGCGCTTGGGGACAGAGGACGGGGCATCAGAGTGCGCTGGGGGACGGAGACGAAGGACAAGGGCGCGGCGTGCTGGGGGGTGGTGGATAGGGCACGACGCAGACTGGAGGACGGAGTGCGTTGGGGGATGAGGACGGGGCATCGAAGTGTGCTGGGGGACGGAGAAGAAGGATGGGGGTGCGTGCTGATAGTAACTGGGAATCGAACGGCTCGGAGGGCTCGAATCGAAGGGTCGGGAGCTGTGTCCGGATGCTGCCGTATTCCGGGCGTCCGGGCGCTATCTGCTCCGGAGGGCAGAATGAGACTTGGTTGGCACAAAAAAAAAAACAAAAGGATGCGCCAAGAGGAAAACATTGTGAAAAGAAAACGGCCTCTACTCATTCACGCCAAAAGCAATCGGGCTACTATACCAGGTCGGGTTACTGTAGCACACCACTTTGGTTTCCTTCCTAATTTAAGTTGCTCGTAACTCTACCGTCCAGTGAATAGTCAATGGAAAGCTTCGTCAAGCTCTATGCAGTGGTGGTCTCAGTTTATCCATCCAAGCAACAGAGCGAAAAGTCAAATTTCGGTATATCTTAAAAACCAGTCAACCTTCACTAAATAATAAATTACAATCTGTATTAAAAAATCTATATTTATGTCATCCATTCTTTAGGTATTACATCCATACAATTGAGTAGATGGACTTTTTTTTTAAGGAACCGGCAGGGAAGCTCTCTACCATTTTTTTTATTTTTTTTATATAAATATGAACAAAGCATATGTACAAAATACAAGGCTTGCAAAGCTCAAGGAAGAAAAGAAAAAAAAACCATTGAAGACTCCCTCGCCACAAAGACAAAGGGGCCGAGACACTCTGCTTGGCTTTGACAAAACCCAGCCAAGTTCTTCCTTGAAAGCTAGTTTCCAGGCAGCCAAAGATGTATTCCAAATCATCCAGCAAGCAGTGATAAAAAAAATTCCCTGAAGATGTGACTACCGAAGTCTGCTCTAGCTTGTAACAACATGTCCAAAGGCTGAAGATTCAGATTCCAGTGAATGGTGATGGAACTCCAGCAATCAACACTGAAGGGGCACTCAAAAAACAGATGGGAACTGGTTTCTTCAGAGCCATTGATACAGAGGACACAGGTGTAGTCATCAAGATGCATATTCTTCCTTCTTAAAAGGTTCATGGTATTTAATCTATCCTTAAGCAGAAGCCAAGCAAAGAATTTGTGTTTGCCCAAGTTACCTGATTTCCAAATCCAGGAGAAGATGGGGGAAGCTTCTACTGACACCTGCAGATGAGAGAAAGCCTTTCTTGAAGAGTAGGTAGGACCCCGTTGATATGACCAAGTATCACTCATGTCATGATTCCATTCTCTGTCATTGACAAATTCTTGTAGGTCACTGAGTTATTCTAAAGCTTGGACTGAGAAAGGCAGGAAGAGGATCCTGTTTAATTCATTGCCCAGGAAGAACAAGAGAGCAGTTTGGCATTTCAGTAAAGGAGAAAAGGTGTGGGTAACCTTTTCTCCATTGAGTAGATGGACTCGAGGACAAACAAATTAGTATTAGTGGCAGCCCTGAAACAATCATGCTAGCCTGCTTCATTTGTTGCTTAATCGACAAACCTTGCCTGCCCAAATGCAAGATGCATCATGCACACGTGCCATGCCAACAGGAAAAACACGCCAATTGTATAGTATTGTAGTGTATACTATATAGGTGTAATGAACTGTCCGTGGGGGCTTGGGGCACATGATCAGATAAGCTTCTCGATCGGCTACTTTTTTGAGCTCATTAAAAGCTATAAATGTCAGGACTATGCTTATTAATTTAAGAGCCCACAAAGGTGTGTTTCAGATGGGAGGTATTTTTTCTCTTATAAAACAAGATATGATTCAGGGGGTGTTTAGTTTAGTCCATGTTTTGTATACCAAATAGAAGATCTAAACATGGACTAATCATGATCTAACAAAAACTAATATAGGCTATAATTGACAAGTACAACTCATTAGAAAAAAGAGATTTTTAATTAGTCCATGTCTAGCCTATTATCCAACGAATGACTAAACTTAGACCCTCAATATCGCTAGAAGGGTTTGGAAATTAGTTTTTCCTTTCTTTTCATGATTGTGAAAAACCAGATGGAGTGAACGAAATCATGGAAGCCAAACCAGATGGAGTGAATTTGTTATCCCAAGGATATGATAGAATATACAATGCAAGATTTATTTGTAATATATATATATACATATTATATGTACATAAAATAACGTACAATATATGTATATGCATGTAATATATACGTTAGTTTCATACTTTAGTTTGTATAAAATATTCGAACATATAAACGTGTAGAATACGTATATTATTAGCAGCGTAGAATGCCTATTCGAAAACCAAAACAATTCATCAATTGAAAATAGAAACAAAAAAAAGAAAAAAATTGTATATTACCAACCGGGACTAAAGGGCTGACCCACGTGATCAGGTCGGGAGGCCTCTTTAGCCCCAGTTGGTAACCTTTAGTCTCGGGCGCGAAACCGAGACTAAAGGAGGGGCCCTTTAGTCCCGGATTCGTGCTCCCGGTTCCAAAATTGGGACTGAAGGGGGTTAAGAACCGGGAGTACAGCCCATTTCAGTGAATATAACCAATCTTGTTCGTGGGTGGATGGATGGTTGCATCACATTCAATTCAATATTAGTTATGTTGATGTAGACAGTAGTACCAATGCAATCATGCAAACTTCCATCTCTTTTCCTCCACGTGCTTCACAATGAAAGAGTAACATTTTCCCTTTACCAAACTACACATGCAAAATAACTCGTCCCAACCTCCACACCCTGGTCTGGTCTATAAATTTGCCACCACGACCGTCCGTCCCTTCCCATCACAACCAACTCAAAAGATTACTAGTGAGCTGCACCTCCAGCGCATGAGAAAGTGAGAGATGGCAGCACCAGTAGAGACCATGAACCCTAGCACTGAGGTTCTTGAGACTACAGTCACCTCAGTGTTCCAGCCAGGGAAGCTTGCCGTCGAGCTGATTTCAGTGGATCACAACACAAATCCTACACCACCGATCCCCGTCTTGATTGCCGCTCCCAAGGATTCAGGAACATACCCAGTCGCCATGCTCCTGCATGGCTTCTGCCTCCAGAACCATTTCTACGAACAAGTTCTCAAACGCATTGCCTCTTTTGGCTTTATCATGGTTGCACCGCAGGTTAACTACTATTACTGCCTTCTGTTGCTTTTCACATGCATGTGTAGTCCATGCATGTTAATTCATCAGAAATGTACAAAACTGTGATGGTTACAGCGACACGCCAGATGAAATCTTACCAAAACTGTCAAATTATGATGAGAATTAACATATGTACTGACATGTTTCAGGTCTAATTAGTTCATCCCATGTCTGTTGGCTGCTGACAAGATCATCTAATAATTCTGTAATTCTATTGGCAGTTCCATATCAGCATCCTGGGCATGGCCAAAGGTGACACTGAGGACATATCCGCAGCAGCCCAAGTGACAGATTGGCTCGCCAAAGGGCTACCATCCGTCCTGCCCAAAGGCGTCGAGCCCAACCTTTCCAAGCTCGCTTTGGCCGGCCACAGCCGAGGTGGCCACACGGCATTCTCTCTAGCCCTGGGGCATGGCAAGACCAACCTCAATTTCTCTGCCCTCATCGGTCTCGACCCTTGTAGCAACCGTTTTTTCGAACAAAAACAAGATACGCACGGTATGTGAAGCCTAAAAATCAAATCTCACATATAGCTACAAATAAAAGTAATATCAAAAGACAAATGCTCAATATATAACGTACTTAGTATAAAGTATACAACATTAGATAGCAAACAGCGGAAAGACAACTCCGATCTTCGGATGAAGACTCTAGTTCCACAGGGACAACTGACTGGTTGATCACAAGACTAATTCCTCCAAACTCTAACAATCTGGTACCCATCCGGGATTTTTTCAAAGATTTAAAAAGTAAAGCAAGTGTAAGAACATGTCATACTCAACAAATATAACATGGGGTTCATGAGGCTCAAAAGGCTGACACTGGTTTAACTGCGATTAACTTTTAGTGAGTCACAGTTTTAACAATTGGGTGGCAACAAGTTTATCATAAGCCCATAAACACATGATCAGATAAACATAAATAATGAATAGCATAAACAATTAACCATTAGTGAGCATCTTTATCATCAGTATCATTAGTGTTCATCATCTATTAACCATTAGTGATCATCTATTCCGTAAGGGTTCCAAGGCTGCTCGTGACCTTGAGCACGGCTGATATACCAGTTTTACACTCTGCAGAGGTTGTACACTTTCACTGTGAGTCGTGATTTACCCTTTCATCCGAGGTAGCTAATCTCTTGACCCACTTCCAAGGAAGGTCGGCAAGGTTCACTATGAAGCCTTTCAAAGGTTCATCTAACAAGTTAGGGCCGCTAGGTTTCTATGGCCTGCGAATGTAGAGCTCCCCTTCCGACAGGCACAATGACGCAACCTATACACTGATGGACAGAGGCCGCACTATATCCAACCCGGAACACATCCCTCTTGCGTCATAAAGGTAACCACTAATAAGCTAGAAAAGGTCCTTATACTAAGCTAAAGCCAGAGCCATATAACCCTCACAATTGTACTATAAATCCCGGATGATCACTTATATATAAGTCCTTAGGAGAGAAATCTAGAGCACCGTAAAATAGCCCAATGCTCTAGCACCCTTATTCCATATTGCTAAAAAACATCTTTTAATGTTTATTACATATATCATTAGTCAAGTTACAAGATCATGATCTTTAATTGAGCACTAGCATCATACTACCCAATGCATAAACCCATAGATATCAAGGTACAAGGTAACAAAGTATTAGAAAATCATTAGTGGTAGTCAAGATAGACACATGCAATATAAATTAAATGATTAAAGGTGTATAGAACAACAAGGAAGATCTCATACTATATTTGCCTTAAACTCAGATCCTTTTTCAAGTCTAAAACTTCAAAGATCTCCTTCTTGATCAACACGTAAAGCTCACTAACTGGACATGATCATAAAGCACCACACAAACATCCATGTAATCATACACAAAGCAAACAATAGATCTAAATTAGAACAATACACCAAACATAAAATCAAGATGAAAAATTCGTAAAACAAATCTACGTCTCGCTATAAACACACAGACGCGAAAAGCACGCTAATCAAAGCTACGGTTAAAAAGATACAATTACTGAGAGATCTACTCATAAAAGAAAATATAAAACTATTAGCTTCATGTGTTTTTATTATATAAAAATATATATAAGATATTTTATAGATAATATAATTTAAGTCAAATTTAGGTTTGAAATATAATACTAAAGTAAAGCAAATCATATTTTATTTATAAAACCCAATTGCATAATTATTATTTAAATTAGAATTTAAACCATGAAATTTCAAAAATAGTGACATGGTAACCACTGTTACTAACGCGTAGATCTCGTCGCTATGAATCTAACGCAACTTGAATGGGCTAAAACAGAGTTAAAACGTAGAAGATATGATTTAAACAAGATTTCCTTTAATAAAATAATAGATTAAATCTAACCTCGAATTTTAAAAGTTGAAAACCTACTTAACAGTTGTATGAACATGTAGATTATGAAATTACGAACCTAACGCAATTTGAGCGGGTCAAATCGGAGTTAAAACGATAAAGTTATGGCCTAAATAAATCTAGTGGCAAAACTGTAATTAACTGAAAACATATTTTGGATCTATACAGAAGAAACTACGCTTTCCAAAGAAGAAAACGTAATCTGTGATTGCGCTATGGACCGCGGGTTCTATAATTGAAAAAGGGAGGGGTTCTTTTGAAAATTTGCCCGCCGAAGGGGTATGAGGTGATCTAGGCCGTTAGATTAGAGTTTGATGGTCTGGATTAGAACCGAGAGGGAAATTGGGGAACCAATGGCCGGAACAGTGGCCGGCGGCGGGATTTCTCACCGGCGATGTCGATTCCTCGATGGAGTATTTGGGGGAAAACGGCTGGGGCTAAATTCGACTCTGATTAAGCTCTGGGAGATAGATTGGGAGGTGACGAACTCAGCTCGACAACTTGCAACGGCTATTGACGAGCAAGGCGAGCTGGCGGCGAGCTATGGCGGCGGCAGAGCGACGACGTAGCAGTGCAGGGCGACACAGGGCGAGAAAGAGGAAATTAAGGGGTTGGTCATGCTCGCGACTACAACGCGAATCATGGGAACAAACTTACCGTGACGAAGGGGCGTCCAATCGGCTCGGCGATGTCGGCTCCTCCCGGCGGGATCTAGGCGGCGGCGCTGGCTAGCTCGGGGCAAGGGCGGTGCGAGATAGGGAGCGGGGTAGGTGGCACGGCGTGGAGGCTCGCTATTTATGGGGCTGGCGCAGCTTGGGGCGCACGGCATCGGCGGAGGACGGGGGCAGCGCGGACTCTGCTCCGGTAGTGTCCGGCTCGAGCACGGGAGCAAGGTAGAAGAGAGCCTTGATAGGCGGGGCCCGCTGTCAGGAAAGGAGGGAGAGGGGATGGCTCGGCTGGGTTGCTGCTCACTGCTGGACTGTGTGGGAACAGAGCTGGGCTGAGAGAGGGAGAACATGCCGGCTGGGCCACGATGGAGAGAAAAAGATTTGCCTTTTTATTTTGTTTTCATATTTCCAAACCACATTCAAATATGAACCAAATGCAAGTTCAAATAAAGTTTTGAATATACTTTTCAATTCAAATAAAAGTGAGCAAATTTTAGTAAGTTTTCAAAAATAATTTTTACAACTTTTTAAATTCTTTCATTTTCTAATTTTCTTTTCTTTTACTTCAAGGCCATTTTTAATTTATTTCCAAAAGCATTTCGAATGTTTTCAATTTGAATCAAATCCACGCAATACAAAGAAACAAATGCACCTACATGTATACACAACATGTTGCTACCTTATGATGAATTTTAATTTAATGAAATTTTTATTTTCCTATATTTCATGAGCACAAAATTCAGAACTAAATCATTTTAAACCTATTTTCAAAATAGGCAAATTTTAAGGTGTTACAACACTATTGCTAGCCAAGGCAAGTTTCTGCAAATATCACCCAAGATCCTCACCTATGAGCCCTCCTCTTTCGACATTGCGATGCCGGTACTGGTCATCGGCACCGGGCTGGGGAGGAGAAGAGGAACATACTGTTCCCTCCCTGTGCCCCCAAAGATGTGAACCACAAGGAGTTCTACATCGAGTGCAAGCCACCTTGCTACTACTTTGTCACCAAGGACTATGGGCATCTGGACATGCTAGACGACGATGCTCCCAAGTTCATGACCTGCATGTGCAAGGACGGGAAAAACTGCAAGGACATGATGAGGAGGAGCGTTGCAGGGATCATGGTTGCATTCTTGAAGGCCGTGCTCAGTGGAGAAGATGGTGATCTTAGTGTCATATTGAAAGATCCTGGGCTCGCACCGACCACGCTGGACCCTGTTGAGCACCGTCTGGCATGAGCAGAAGGATCATAAATCCTGAAGTTAATAAGGAGGCAGCAGTTAACTGCTTGCCTTTTCATTTGTTTTCATAAAAGAAATCCTAGCTTCTTGTTGTTCAATGGGCTTTCCAGAGTCCAAATAATGATGAAGAAGTGAGTAAAAAATGGAGAGAATTTCATATGTGATTTATTATTTGTCACGTTCATGTTTTTTTTTAAAAGCAGAGAACTACATTAATTTATAAAGGGGAAGAGTTAAGGCCTAGACCAAAAGGTTAAAAAAACAATTGTACACACGTTAAGTGTGTGAAAAAAACTATAAACCAGGAACAATCATTGCTAAATGCTTTGCTCCTGCTATGCACCAAGATCAGGTTTCTTCTTTGATTTTCGCCACTACTGAGATATGGCTTACGTATTTGGAACACTTGGTAAATCGACGGTAAACAAATATATTGCCGTCTCAATTATGGAGTGACATAAAGGACAAGTTTGTTGGTCTGGCCAAACCCTGACCATCAGGCGATCCGCCATCCATAGTCTGTTTTGCACTGCAAGTCAAGCGAAGAACTTGCACTTTGGTGGTGTCGAGTTGCACGAGATGATAACTTCAAAAATTGTTGCAGGAAGCCCTTTGTATTGGGTGTGGTAGAGAAACAATACTGCATTTTCTATGCCTTCCCTGAGTAAGCATACAGTTCATCATCAGCCCTTGTGCTAAATTAGGCATTCCAAATTGTTATGTGCCCTCCAATTGAACTTTTTTTCTCTCGAAGTTTCAGGTTGCAAACAAATTACAAAATATGCCAGATTGCACGTTTAAGGATGCCTAGTCTACAGGGTGCAAAAAAGAGAAGCATCTGCACTTGTGTTAGATGTACTAGTCCATAGATGTTTGCTGTATAATTAACAGTAATGGGCACAAGAGAGAGACCGGAGACGTCAGTTTCATCTTCATACCGAGCTGATGAGGTCGGCGGGCAAGAAGCGAGGCAGGGATGCGTTGCCGAGCAAGTCTCTCTTGTTCTTGGACCGTTCGCCATTCGTGGGGCACATAACAATTCGGTGAGACGAGACGACCGCGGTGAGCTATATGTTGTGGAAAGAAGAATGTGGAAAGAAGAATGTTCGTGGGGCACGCGGGCCTGACTAGTGGAAAGAAGTGTGTCGTCATCCCAAGGTCGGGTTGGTGCCTTTCACCGATGAACAGAAACCTGGCTGCTGAAGAATGTGCGTTGATCACGACTGGATTGACGACTGATTTGGAATTTGCTTCTGACAACTGACAACACCAGCAGCCAACAGCTTGCTGAAACGCGGTGCGCTAAGAGACAAAGGGTGATGGGTTTTTAGTTGCTCATAAAATTTATGTCACATCGAATATTTAGATACTAATAAAGAGCATTAAATATAGATTAATTACAAAATCAATTACATAGATGGAGGTTAATTTGCGAGACGATTTTTTAAGCCTAATTAATATATCATTAGCACATGTTTATTGTAGCTCCACGTTGTCAAATCATGGACTAATTAGGCTTAAAAGATTCGTCTCGTAAATTAGTCGCAAATTGTGTAATTAGTTTCGTAATTAGTCTATATTTAATACTCTATACATGTGTCTAAACATTCGATGTGACAGGAATTTTAGGAGCGCATGTAGAAACCAAACAGAGCCAAATTAAGGTCACCTTGTTGAGCATGGAAAACCTTGAAAACAAGGTTGATTATTATCCGTTCAACATTGCGCGGGAACATTGAACGAGGACAAACCTTATGGTTGCACTCTTGAACATCCTAACTCAAGAATGACACTTGGACCTTGCTGTTCTGTGCCCAACCGCCCAAGGACGAACCGACAAGCCTTGAAGCACACTTCCTCCCATTTCTTTTTTTTTTTTTTATTAGATCGTTGTTATCGTATTCATTACAAGATTTACACTTCCTAATTATGAAAGGTTTACAAAACCATATACTATTACACATTTAGTGCCGACGCTAGATTCATAGTTAAAAGTAGCCTCATATGATGTCAACTTTATAACTATGACAATTGTCATTAAGAGATACCGTCGAAATTTGGTATTGGAGGCCACGTGGGGTCAAAGAGATACTGTGAGCTGTGAAAAAGCTATCATAAGTTGTGGCCTATGAAAATTTGTTGTGATTTATGTGATATGGAAAAATTATAAGCTATTTGGTTAAAACAAATATAAAACTTACCCTCTCTCTTTATCTATCTTGAAACAATTGTAAAACATCTCCTTATTTTCACCCATTTTGAAAAGCTAAAAGTTAAAAGCTAAAAATAGGGTCCAAAATGCTATGGAAATTGTACTACACGAAAGCACCTACTTTTGTAAAAGCATCTTCTGGGTCTACCTGTTTGGTTAGTGTTATGCCTTTTGGTAGCAAAAACACTTTACACAAGCTAAACCAAACATGGTCACATTACACCCCCACAATTTGAGAAGGAAGGAGTATGTAGCAAGCATGAGGACGGCCTAATTATACCCTTGAGATCATAAACATTTGCTACAATAATAAATACTAAGTATATTTTACAACAAAGGTAGTATAAGCGGTAATGAATTCTTCGAGTATAAATGCATTAGTAGGTGACAGAAAAGCAATATTTGGATTGGAGTTGTTTGATATGAAATAATAAAAGCCATAACATTGTATATCCTAATTAAGGCTTTGTTTGGTTTAGCTCCTAGGTGCTCCGGGTCCTCGATGCAGCTATTGTGCAACACTGTTGATCACTATAGCTGGCAAAAAAAAAGGCTCGGGCTCCAGCACAAATAAACAGGGAATGAGGAGGAGCTATCGGAGCCACATTTTTTGTGCCCTGCCAGCCCCGCCATAGTACCCCTACAGTTGCACGGAACCGGAAAGGGCAGGAGCTCCTCCAAACACGCTCTAATTGTTTTGGAGTCTAAGCAACAACATGAAAGGAGGACATGTTGCATTATATTGCGCTAGAAGTTAATATCATGGTTTTTTTTTCTTTGAAAGGTAATATGATGGCTTGGAATTGAAGAAAATGAAACCAGATGAACCACTGACTAATTAATATTACAATCGTTGTAGGACCATTGCATTGTGCCTCACAAAAACGCGTCCTACTTTGTTCTCCTAGCGTGTTCACAGAGCAGATCTACTTAAAGCCACATCAGCTGCCTAAGAGGCATTGGTTTGGTCTTGCCGCCACCGCTACTTATGACCGCTACTATAGTAAGCATTTGTAGGAGCGACTGGCGATGGTTTGTAGGGGCGGTTTTGCTAGCCGTCCCTACCACACCGTCTCTACAAATCAAGGGTTTGTAGAGGGCAGCGGATAACACTAGCCGCCTCTACAAAAATGATTTGTAGTGGCGGCTGTAACACCAGTCGCCCCTATATATAATTTACATTTGTAGGGGCGGTTCAATATAGAACCACCTCTATAGTATATTTTCTCGTAAAAAATCAAATTTCAAAATTCAGATATAATCAGAACATATATACATATATGCATATATAATTCAAATATTGTATCCACATGCATAAGAATATTATATAAACTAACATTACAAGTCATTTTGATATTTATATGTTTTCTCCATGCATTATATAGATTAAATTCCCTTGAGCATTAATTTGCCAATTATGCATATGCTTAGCCGTCTACCATATGTATGCATATATTTAGGGGAGCTTAGTCTATATAATGTGAGAGTCAAATTTTGTGACCTATTTCACTCTACATTCAAAGGATCACAAAGTTTGACTCTCCCTTGTGCTACTAATGTCTTCTTTTTCGATGTTTGATTCCAAAGGGGGAGAATTTAGATGACCAAAAGCAAGCATTAATTTGTAGGACCAAAAACTAGATCATAATAATTTACAAGTAGTAATGGTATACAAGTGGCAATGGTCCGAGAAAGGGAGGATAGTGGATGGTGGAATTAGTCTATATAATAGGGAGAATTTATAAGAAGCAAGGCTTAAATCCATAATACCACATGGAGATATTTGCAAGGACAAGATAAGTTTTTATGTGATATTTTGGATTTAAGCCTTGATTCTTACAAATTCTCCCATTACATAGACTAATTCCACCGTCCACTATCCTCCCTTTCTCCGACAATTACCATTTGTAAACCATTACTACTTGTAAATTATTATAATCTAAATTTTGGTCCTACAAATTAATACTTGCTTTTGATCCTCTAAATTCTCCCCTTTGGAATCAAACACCGAAAAGAAAGACATTAGTAGCATGAGGAAGGGTCAAACTTTATGATCCTTTGAATGTAGAGTGGAATATGTCACAAAATTTGACTCTCACATTATATAGACTAAGCTCCTCTTAAATATATGCATACATATGGTAGACGGCAAAGCATATGCATAATTGGCAAATTATTCACTTGTAGGGGACCGTGACACCTAAGAGGGGGGGTGAATTAGACAACTTAAAAATCTAACTCTAAACGATGGTCTCTTGTTCTAACCTTAGCAAAACCTATGCAAAAGATAAACTATCTAAATGTGCAAATATGGTTTTGCTAGTGTGTTGCTATCTCTACTGCAAAAGGAGTAATACAATCAATATAAATACAGAAGTTAAAGGGCAAGGTAGAGATATGCAAACTCCCATCGACGACTCCGGTATTTTTACCGATGTATCGAGAAGCACGCAAGCTTCCCCCTAGTCCTCGTTGGAGCCCCTCGCAAGGAATCCCTCGCAAGGGCCAAGCTCCCGGTCGGGTAACTCCGTGGATAGCCTCGGGCCTTCCCCATGCGCAAGTGGGTCTCCGACGTGCCTTCCGGCAAGCCTCTCCCAAATGCGGCCCGCTGTCTTCACTATCAAGCTTCCGGCCGAAACGCCGCGGGCCTTGTTCCCTCCGGTACATGGTGGCGGCCACACCACAACCACGGTTGGTGTGATCTCGCAAGACTACAAGCCCCTCCAATGTACAACGATGATGCGCGCAAGCACCGAGTGGTAAGAGGTATGCAAACCTCACTAAA